GTGGGATCTTGTTCCGGAAGGTTTGTGTTCAACCCAGGACTTCACGTATCGTTTGGTTTGTTGTTTTTTGTTCGTGTGTGTTAAGTACGTTAATTAAATAAAATGTACGCTTACCACGCTGCGCCTTGGTCCGCTTCATCATGTAACGATCGTGACAGAAGATCCCACCTCGACTGGATCAAGCAGCGTGACGAGGAGAGAGGATGGACTTGGGAGGAGATGAGTGAGAGTCTGGCAAGAGGGATGGAGGCCATGAGCACGGGGGAGAGACAAGCCCAAAACATTTTTAGGGGGGGGGCTCACGCCGTGGACGACGAGGCAGCAGGAGGCCGCGATAGAGTGGTTCAGCCGGTTAGCAGAGGAGGCCGCCAGATTAAGGGGGTCATTGGTCACGAGGGAGAAGGAGAGTGTAGAGGCACGGCGAGAGGAACTGAGTAGGCAGCAGAGGGAGCGGAGGTTTATGAGGAAACCCAGTCCCGCTCCTCGCACCAAGCAAGTGGTGTGTGTCACCAGTCCGGTCCGGCCCGTTCCTGATTCCCGCACAAGGCCAGTGGTGTGTGTTCCCAGTACGGTCAGGCCCGTTCCTGCTCCCCGCACTAAGCCTGTGGTGCGCGTCGCCAGCCCGGTCCGGCCCGTTCCTGCTCCCCGCACCAAGCCAGTGGTGCACGTCGCCAGCCCGGTCCGGCCTGTTCCTGCTCCCCGCACCAAGCCAATGGTGCGCGTCGCCAGCCCGGTCCGGCCTGTTCCTGCTACCCGCACCAAGACAATGGTGCGCGTCGTCAGCCCGGTCCGGCCTGTTCCTGCTTCCCACACCAAGCCAGTGGTGCGCGTTGTCAGCCCGGTCCGGTCCGTTCCTGCTCTCCGCACCAAGCCAGTGGTGCGCGTCGTCAGCCCGGTTCGGCCCGTTCCTGCTCCCCGCACCAAGCCAGTGGTGCGCGTCGTCAGCCCGGTCCGGCCCGTTCCTGCTCCCCGCTCCAAGCCAATGGTGCGCATTGTCAGCCCGGTCCGGCCCGTTCCTGCTCCCCGCACCAAGCCAGTGGTGCGCGTCGTCAGTCCGGCACGATCCGTGCCTGTTCCACCGGTGCCTGGTCCGGCACCGGTCAGCTGCTCCGCGCCGGAGCCAGAGCAATCCGCTCCACCGGTGTTCAGTCCAGCTCCGGCCAGCGGGTCCAGACCAGGGGCGCTACGGGGGGGTAGAGATAGAGGGGTGGTCACGCCCGGAGCCGGATCCGCCGCCGAGGCGGAATGCCCACCCGGCCCCTACCCTCTTGTGTTTGGTTGGCGCGGTCGCAGTCCGCGCCTTTGGGGGGGGGGTACTGTCACGCCCTGGCTCTGGGGACTATTAAATGTTGAGCCAGGGTGTGGATTTTCTATTGTTTAGTTTTCTAGGTTTGTGTTCTAGTTCATGTATATCTATGTTGGCTTGTTGTCTCTGATTGGGGACCATACTTAGGCAGCCTGTTTGGCACTGTTATTTTGTGGGATCTTGTTCCGGAAAGTTTGTGTTCAACCCAGGACTTCACGTATCGTTTGGTTTGTTGTTTTTTGTTTGTGTGTGTTAAGTACGTTAATTAAATCAAATGTACGCTTACCACGCTGCGCCTTGGTACGCTTCATCTAACGAAGATCGTGACAACCATTTTATAAAAGCAACAATGCCCTCGAACCTGGGAATTATTGTATGACAACTCTCTCCATGGGCTGTATCCCGGCCCTTGGCTTCCCCTCGGGCCTCAGAACAGCCCTTGTCGGGAGTTGTCACACAATAATTCCCGGGTTTTCAGGCATTATTGCTTAAATACAGTGGGGAGAACAAGTATTTGATACACTGCCGATTTTGCAGGTTTTCCTACTTACAAAGCATGTAGAGGTCTGTAATTTTTATCATAGGTACACTTCAACTGTGAGAGACAGAATCTAAAACAAAAATCCAGAAAATCACATTGTATGATTTTTAAGTAATTAATTTGCATTTTATTGCATGACATAAGTATTTGATACATCAGAAAAGCAGAACTTAATATTTGGTACAGAAACCTTTGTTTGCAATTACAGAGATCATACGTTTCCTGTAGGTCTTGACCAGGTTTGCACACACTGCAGCAGGTATTTTGGCCCACTCCTCCATACAGACCTTCTCCAGATCCTTCAGGTTTCGGGGCTGTCGCTGGGCAATACGGACTTTCAGCTCCCTCCAAAGATTTTCTATTGGGTTCAGGTCTGGAGACTGGCTAGGCCACTCTAGGACCTTGAGATGCCTCTTATGGAGCCACTCCTTAGTTGCCTTGGCTGTGTGTTTCGGGTCGTTGTCATGCTGGAAGACCCAGCCACGACCCATCTTCAATGCTCTTACTGAGGGAAGGAGGTTGTTGGCCAAGATCTCGTGATACATGGCCCCATCCATCCTCCCCTCAATACGGTGCAGTCGTCCTGTCCCCTTTTCAGAAAAGCATCCCCAAAGAATGATGTTTCCACCTCCATGCTTCACGGTTGGGATGGTGTTCTTGGGGTTGTACTCATCCTTCTTCTTCCTCCAAACACAGCGAGTGGAGTTTAGACCAAAAAGCTCTATTTTTGTCTCATCAGACCACATGACCTTCTCCCATTCGTCCTCTGGATCATCCAGATGTTCATTGGAAAACTTCAGACGGGCCTGGACATGCACTGGCTTGAGCAGGGGGACCTTGCGTGCGCTGCAGGATTTTAATACATGACGGCGTAGTGTGTTACTAATGGTTTTCTTTGAGACTGTGGTCCCAGCTCTCTTCAGGTCATTGACCAGGTCCTGCCGTGTAGTTCTGGGCTGATCCCTCACCTTCCTCATGATCATTGATGCCCCACGAGGTGAGATCTTGCATGGAGCCCCAGACCGAGGGTGATTGACCGTCATCTTGAACTTCTTCCATTTTCTAATAATTGCGCCAACAGTTGTTGCCTTCTCACCAAGCTGCTTGCCTATTGTCCTGTAGCCCATCCCAGCCTTGTGCAGGTCTACAATTTTATCGCTGATGTCCTTACACAGCTCTCTGGTCTTGGCCATTGTGGAGAGGTTGGAGTCTGTTTGATTGAGTGTGTGGACAGGTGTCTTTTATACAGGTAACGAGTTCAAACAGGTGCAGTTAATACAGGTAATGAGTGGAGAACAGGAGGGCTTATTAAAGAAAAACTAACAGGTCTGTGAGAGCCGGAATTCTTACTGGTTGGTAGGTGATCAAATACTTATGTCATGCAATAAAATGCAAATTAATTACTTAAAAATCATACAATGTGATTTTCTGGATTTTTGTTTTAGATTCTGTCTCTCACAGTTGAAGTGTACCTATGATAAAAATTACAGACCTCTACATGCTTTGTAAGTAGGAAAACCTGCAAAATCGGCAGTGTATCAAATACTTGTTCTCCCCACTGTATATATAATAATAATAATAATAAGCCATTTAGCAGACGCTTTTATCCAAAGCGACTTACAGTCATGCGTGCATACATTTTTTTTTGTGTATGGGTGGTCCCGGGGATCGAACCCACTACCTTGGCGTTACAAGCGCCGTGCTCTACCAGCTGAGCTACTGAGAACCACATAACTATATACAGCTGAGCTACTGAGAACAACCCAAACTATATATAGTTTGGGTTGTTTAGTCTTGGCTGTTTGTCTCTCTGTAGATAACCGCTTCCCTCCAGATGCTACGGTGGAGTTTATCTTCTCCTACAGCCCAGAGAAAATTAAAGGTACTGAGAGAGAGCGAGTGTGTGTGTACAAAGCTGTGTGTGTGTGTGTGCAAAGCTGTGTGTGCAGGTGTGTGTGCACATCCTTGTTAGTATGTTGTGTGTGTGCCTGTGCATTCCAGGTGTGTGTGATATCTAGTATCTGTCTCTCTCTTCACAGGGCGAGAGTACCTTAAGAATGACCCCTCTGTTACAGTGGACTACAACACCTCAGACCCAGTGGTGCGCTGGGACTCCTATGAGAACTTCAACCTGCACCACCAGGATAGCACTGAGGGTAAGGGTGAAACACACACACATAGGGGAGAGTGGGGTAAGTTGAGCCCAAGGGGTAAGTTGAGTCACCCTTGTTTCTAGGAATCCATACACAAAATTAATCATTTGACCAAATATTTAGGAAGAGGTCATAATTTCATGGAGTCTGTGAAGGAAGAAACCACATGGAAAAAGTGGTAAGCAAGTTACGTCCAAAAAACAGATTTTCAAATGTATTTATTGTGTTGGAGGTTTCATGATGCTTGTATCTAAACCTATGTAGATCATTTTAAGATTGTTCTATACATCAGTTGGGGTTTCTATAAACTTCAATATGAGGTCCTAAACCTAGCATGAAAGTGCATCCTTGTAGCTGTGTGGGCTAATATAGTCAAAATGTTTGCCTTTGGGTAAGTTGAGCCAACGGCCATGGGGTAAGTTGACCCAATGGTTGAGCCAATGGCAAGTTGAGCAAATTGAAATGTTTTAATGGAAGGCATTATCTCTGGGATATGAGGTAACAACAGGGCCTGGCCTATGATTAAAAGACGAAAAAGCGATTCTGATTGTGTTGAATTGTGTTTGGGAAATAAAGATAGATATGGTTTTAAAAGGTAGTGGTAATATGTAATTCAGTACAGAAATGTGTAGGCGGCTTAACTTACCCTGTACCGCGGCTCAACATACCCCATACCCGGGATAAGTTGTGCCAAGAAAGCTATCTTATTTAAAACTGTAATGTTGACATGAATTCTGATTATTTCCAGGGATACACAACACCCTGAAATATATATATAGATATCTTTGTTAGAAAGAATACTAGATTTCCCTGGAATTGGCTCAACTTACCCCACTCTCCCCTACAGACACACATACTGTATCATGCACGCAACTACACCCACACACACATGTCCCTGGTGTATACACTCACGCCACCAAGACAACAATCCTGGACTCATACACACACAAACACACACACACACACAAGCTAACCCTGAATCCCTCTCTGGTTGTCAGACATCTCCCACACGCGTGGTCCTCTGGACGGCAGCCTGTATGCCCAGGTGAAGAAGCACCGGGGCCGGGGCTCCTTCGGTGTCGCTGATGCCTCTCCCAATGCATGCCCCAAAGGCAGCCCCACAGCCAAGCCTCCTCCATCGGCCCAGCCTCCTCCACCGGCCCAGCCTCAATCTCAACCTCAGCCCCTGTCCCTCAGCTCTGACTCGGGACACTCCTCCACCCCCTCCGAACACATAGAGGACCCCCCTCCTTGCCCCCTGTCCCGCCTGGAGAAAAAGAAGGAGGAGATGGACTGTCTACTGCGGATGGGGGAGGGTGGAGAGAGAGACAGGGTGAGGCAGAGGGAGAGGGACCGGGAGACGGCAATTTTGGATGACGGAGACTCTGTTCCAGATGGAGGGTTGAGGCGGGAGCAGTGGTCATGTTGCGTTCGAGCGGGCCACGGTCCAAGATGTCAGAGGTGTGGGGAGGCATCGGGTTGGGAGAGGGAGCTGTGCTTTGCTAACGGACATTGTATGGACCGCTGTAACAGCAGCACCAAGGGGAACCCAAAGAGCCGAACATTACCCGCCTTACCCTCCCAGCAGCCGGTGTCTCATCGCCCCCTGGAGCCCCGTCTGGACTTGTGCCATCACCATAGCGCCCATCCCTTGCCTGAGTTGCTGTGGGAACGTCCCCCGCCCCCTTTACCCTGTCTCCATCGGCCATGCTACCCCTACCCCGCCCCTGAACACGCCCACCCACACGCCCACACCATCCCGGCCTCCAATATGCTCTTCTGCGGTGGGGAGAAGTGTCAGGTCTTTCATTACCCCGCCCCCACCCCCCCTCGCCTCTCACACCAATCCCTGCCTTCCAGCCCGTATAGGGAGATGTTTTTCAGCCCGGCGGCTCCTCCCCCTGGTGGCTGCCCATGCCGAGACTGCACCTGCAGGCGAGAGCACCAATCGGCTTCGGCCAGAGCCTTCCACCCGCTGTGCCTGGACCAACCAGAGAGCCCGCACTGGGCCCGAGGGCGGGACTCTGAGCTGTGGGACAGGGAGGCAGGGCTGAAGCGGGGGAGGGAGGGGCCTCCTCAGCTCTGGGAGGTGGAGAATCCGTGGGAGGCGGAGAGAGAGGCAGAGTTTTGGCAGCGGAGGTCAGTGGGAGGGATGACACCCTATAGAGGCTGTCACTCCCCCCTGGGTCAGGGTCCCGGGTACCCCAGCCCCCACCCCTTCCTGGACAGCCCCCTTGGCAGCAGTGGATACAACACCCCCCAACCCCCCTGCCACTCCTGCCCTTGTTCACCCTACCAGCAGGCCTCCCCCTCGGAGAGCCACGGGATCCGGGGGTATGCCTCGGGGTACCAGTCTGGGTCCACCTTGCCCCTGCCCCCTGGTGGCCCAAACCCTGGTGCTTCCCCCTCGGATACACCCACCGACCGGCAGCAACAGACTGATGGAAAGACTGGTAAGTGACGCAATCTCACACATTGGCGAACCGTGACTATAGGACCTAGGCCTTCAGAGGGACCAAAAATCTAATTAAACAGGCCTGGCTGCGCTTCGGGCTGCCACACACACAGAGACAGAACCGGCATGGACACAACATGACACACAGGATAAAATAATGCACTGTTTACACAACTTATGGTAGCCAGCACCACTATCACACAATCACCAACAGCGACAACAACAGTGTCACATCAAAGGTGGCAGGCTCATGGTGCTGAAAGGACAGTGACTGTAATACGTGTGCACTCCATGGCGCTGAAGGAGAGACAGTTTTGGTCAAACACATAGACAAGGCTGATAGACAAGCGACAGCAGTCACATACAGCATCAAATAATGTTAAAGAATAAGCAGCCCATTCACTCCAGTAGGCCCCATGAAATCATACCACTACAAAATCGCAACCATTTCATGTCCAACATTTTATTAACAAACCAGATATTTCTTCCCATTGCAAATATATTTTATCACGTTCATCACACTGACCGGTGATCTAAAGTTTAAATGCAACAATGTTTCACAGTCAAAGAGATAAGAGATAGCTAACAGCAAGCGAGCTGCAACAAAAAACAGTTTCACTCACCAGATATTGATAAATTGTAAAGGAAGTTTGAAAGTTAATCTTGAAAAGGGTGATGCTAACAAATTAGCAACAACATTCACCTTGAAGTTGATAACAGCTGCTGCAGCCGCCGTCACCAATGTCACACTACTACAACACAAGCTAGCTAACGTTACTAGCGTTAGCGTGGGAAAACTACTGCTTGCGACGCATATGTTTTTGGTCTGGCACTCTCTTCTTTCTGGCAGACTACAACCTATTAGTGTATTGCTGCCTCCTACTGTATTGGCTGTTTATCAGCCTGCTATTCTTTATAGCATCACCGCCTGGTATGGCAACTGCTCGGCCTCCAACCGCAAGGCACTACAGAGGGTAGTGCGTACGGCCCAGTACATCACTGGGGCCAAGCTTCCTGCCATCCAGGACTTCTATACCAGGCGGTGTCAGAGGAAGTCCCTAAAAATTGTCAAAGACTCCAGCCACCCTAGTCATAGACTGTTCTCTCTGCTACCGCACGGCAAGCGGTACCGGAGCGCCAAGTCTAGTCTAGGTCTTATTTTACTGCTGCTCTTTAATTATTATTATTATTATTTTTTTTTTAGGTATTCTTTCTTAAAACTGCATTGTTGGTTTAGGGCTTGTAAGTAAGCATTTCACTGTAAGGTCTACTACACCTGTTGTATTCGGCGCATGTGACAAATACAATTTGATTTGATAAGAATTCATTACCTCTTGCACTCTCAGTAGTGACCTGTCTAGGCCTTCTCCCACCCCATTGCAAGTCAAAATGTGATTGGTTCATTCCACTGTCAGTCCAAAATTCTGCTCTAATACAGTTGAATGGCCTTCTGTCCAGCTTCTGAAGGCCTAGCCAATGGCTGGCTGAGCTAGCTAGTTTTATCTACCCAGAGACCACCAAAGAAAATCCTGATTGGATTATTTTTTCTATTCAGTATTAACCCTTCTCTTTCCAACACAAATTGAAGAGATTAAATCAGGAAATTATTACAATTATTGTAAAGATGAGAAAGAAATTAAAACATCCATTTAATAAAAAAATATATTCTCCCCCCCCCCCACCCCCCGCTCCCTTTCTCTTGCTTTCTCTCTAGGTGCATCAGACGTGGTGCGAAACAGTGTTGGTATGGAGGACTCTTCTTCCCAGGGGTCATTGGGGCAAGCAGAGGTTGACGGACAGCCCACTTGCCCCACACCTTTATCAGACTCTGATCCAGACTACACAGCCATCACTAGCAGCCCTGCACACAGTGAAGACAGGTGGGTAACCCTCAGCCTCCTGTTGCTATCTCAGACGCTGTTTTGCTAATGGTAAAGGTTAGTATTGGGGGAGGGGGAGCTGATCCTAGATCTGTATCTAGGGGACACATCACCTGGAGCATGGATCCATTTTCTTCTTGTGGTGTTCGCTTTAGGTTTGTGTTTTCAGTGTGAATTGTGTGAGACGAAGTGGTGAAGAAAACTGTGGAGCAGGATATGTAATACAGTGATGGATTAAACCAGTGGAGCAGGATATGTAATACAGTGATGGATTATACCTGTGGAGCAGGATATGTAATACAGTGATGGATTAAACCAGTGGAGCAGGATATGTAATACAGTGATGGATTAAACCAGTGGAGCAGGATATGTAATACAGTGATGGATTAAACCAGTGGAGCAGGATATGTAATACAGTGATGGATTAAACCAGTGGAGCAGGATATGTAATACAGTGATGGATTAAACCTTGTGGAGCAGGATATGTAATACAGTGATGGATTAAACCAGTGGAGAAGGATATGTAATACAGTGATGGATTAAACCAGTGGAGCAGGATATGTAATACAGTGATGGATTAAACCAGTGGAGCAGGATATGTAATACAGTGATGGATTAAACCAGTGGAGCAGGATATGTAATACAGTGATGGATTAAACCTGTGGAGCAGGATATGTAATACAGTGATGGATTAAACCAGTGGAGCAGGATATGTAATACAGTGATGGATTAAACCAGTGGAGCAGGATATGTAATACAGTGATGGATTAAACCAGTGGAGCAGGATATGTAATACAGTGATGGATTAAACCAGTGGAGCAGGATATGTAATACAGTGATGGATTAAACCTGTGGAGCAGGATATGTAATACAGTGATGGATTAAACCAGTGGAGCAGGATATGTAATCTGTTTCAGCATCTGACCTGCCTAATTCTCAGTTTAATTTCTTTTTTTCTTTTTTTTAATAGGCTAAATTACACGTTCTGTTAACATATGACCCCAAAGTGAATTGTTCTTGCAATTTGTAGTCTGACATTTCAGATTTACATATAATTTTTTTAACTAAGTAGTTTGGATATAGTGAACTACTTTTCAAACTTTAGTTAAGGAAACTATATTTTTCTTAAGGGTAGTTTTATTGTAGCTTAACTTCTTCCAGTGTCAAGTAATTGGGAGCTTGGTAAACTATATTTTCAGAGTAGCTTCCCCAACACTGTATACAGTGATGTATTAAACCAGTAATACAGTGATGTATTCTGCCAATAAAGCTCGCCCGCTTGTAGTCCTGGAAAACAGAAATGAGTTACTTCTAGTTTGTTCAGCCATTCCCATGGGGAAAATGAATGTGGAAAGAATAGGGTTTGGGGATAAATGCAGAAAATAAGAGTTTAACCAAGGCTTAGGAGATCTTATACGTTTTGTTCTATGAGATAATATCAGTCAGTTAACATGACATTTATGAGTTAGGAAGCCTTTGTGCTTTTTTAAAATTACATAAATCCTTCAAAATTCACAAAAAGTGACGTTAGCTGATGAAGATTATCTCATAGAACAAAACATATACGTTCTCCTAAGCCTGTGTTTATCTCAGACCTTATTTTCTGCGTTTATCCAAAAACCCTACAAAAACTCAATTCATTCCCCTATAGGCTTTGGCCAATGAGCCATGGCGGAGTGAATGCCTACAGAAAGACGACATTACTATTGCTTGCTATGTGGCTGAACACCAGGGGTGTATTCATTAGCGCACACCGTAGCAAAAATTTTGAAACAGAAAACCAAAAACAAGTGTTTCTTATCGAACAAATTCAGCTAGGTCCCTCCCCGTTTCAGCCCGCTTGCCTCCGTTTGGTTCCTAGTGAATACACCCCAGTAAAGTACCGTTTAACGATTCCTGTGACTCCTATTGAAGTCAATACATTACAACTGGCAATGCCTCTTCTTGTCCTTTCAATCAATTTCCCCTTGGATAATAATTAAGAATCTAGTAGTACTTTTTTGGATGTCCTCCTTTCTCTCTAAATACGTTCTCATTGACACAGTTTTATATTTAACATATTTTATATGTTCCCTTTACTGTTGTGCTGAAAAAGCTGGAAGTATGATTGCGAAATCATTATGTACCTTTTCTACTACGTTGTCTTCAGCACTTTTGAAATGTGTAAATAAGCAGAAACAAACTCTTTTCCCTCTCTGTCTCTCTCTGTCTGTCTCTCTCTCTCTCTCTGTCTGTCTGTCTGTCTGTCTGTCTGCTCCAGTGAGAAGAAGCCAGATGAAGAGACATTTGACGCCACTGTAGAAGTTTCCCCCCCGAGTCCCCCAGACGGCCCCCAGGGGCCCCAGGAACCAAGTCAAGGGCCCCAGCAGATAGAGCCCCTCAGTGGGGCCCCCGTCTCTGCAGCTCAAGCCTCCGCCTCCACCATCCTGGAACCTAACACTAACACCAATAGTAACAGTAGCACGCCGAAGACCAAAAGGGCACCGCACCTAGTGGTAAAATCCACAACAACACCGACAGCATCGACAGAGTCACAAAACCAAGGCAGTGACCGCTCTTCTAAAGAGTCCATACAGATGCCGAGTGAACGTGTGAACCCTAGTGACTCACAACAAGTGCACATGGAAGTGCACACTGTAAGTGCAAGTGTGCATCCACCTCCCCCTACAGCTGAGGATGGAGAATTGAAGGTCGTGGAGAGAGTACTACAGATGTCCACTCAGACCGCTGCCGTCCCGAGCGCAAGGCATTCAATCGTACCTGTCCAAGTGAAACTCAATGGCAGCGCCCTCCTCAGTGGCTCACCCCAATTAGAAAGAGGCTGCAGCGCATCACCGAGCCCTTGCTCTACCCCCAGCTCTGCCCCTCCCTCCCCACATCTTGACATTGGCTCCCCAGAGCAACGTCCCTCCCCTCAGCCCTCTCCATTGGCCATGGACCCAGCTGGGCGGAGACTTACCCCTGTGAGTGACAGTGACCCCAAATCCCCATCCCCTGTCCCTGACGGGTACAACACCCCCACCTTCCCCCTGGCGCCCTACTACTACCCCCTTCTCAAAGTCCCCCACGTCCCCTACTCGGGGTACACCGCTGTCACTATCGCCGCCGCCCAGCCCCCACTCCCTGAAAAGAGGCGCCTGTCTTCCATGCCAGGGTACCGCAATGGGCACGGCTCCCAGTCCCTCCTGAGTTCCTCCCTGGGTGCCATACGACCCATGGGTCCCTCTCCCCAATCTAGCCCCCTCCACGTCACCTTCTCCCCCTCGGTGGGGGTGGGGGAGCTCCCCCCGCCGGTCAGACGAGGACTGGCACTGCCTAGTGTCAGAGAGGAGAGCAGCAAGGTCAATGCCAAGTTTGTCCAGGACAGCTCCAAGTTCTGGTACAAGCCTGGCATATCCAGAGACCAAGGTAAGGGAACAGGCCTGGGCTAAAGTTTTGAAGGATTCCCCTTTATTTAGATAGCCCCTCACAGATCTAGAGAAGCTCACTCTCAACAACCAGTGTCAATTGCAACTGTGTTGACATGCAAACATCTTGTACGATCTTCTTGATTTGAGAAATACTGTTGTAGTGTATACTTGAATGAAAGGTAACTCATTTCTACCATAGTAATACTTACTCTAGTGTTCCTCCTCCCCCTTGTAGCCATCGCTGTGTTGAAGGAAAAGGAGCCCGGCTCCTTCCTGATCAGGGACAGTAACTCCTTTCAAGGGGCCTACGGTCTGGCCCTCAAGGTGGCCAGCCATCCTTCAAACAACGTCAACAACAGCAAAGGTAACGGGGAAGTCATTATTTATTTGACAAAGCATTTTAAAAATCCATTGTCTATTCTATTTTGTTACAAGTGATATCAATTATCTCTCTCTCTCTCTCTCTCTCGCGCTCTCCCTCTCTCTCTCTCTCTCTCTCTCTCTCTCCCCCTCTCTCTTCTCTCTCTCTCTCTCTCTCTCCTCTCTCTCTCCCCCTCCCTCACTATCCCTCCCCCTCTCTCACTATCCCCCGTCTCTCTCTCTGTATATCTCTCTCGCCCTCTCTCTCCCCTCTATCTCTTCCTCCCTCCTTTCTCTCTCCTCTATCTCTTCCTCCCTCCTTTCTCTCTCCTTCTCAGTGGATGATCAGGAGCATCTGGTCAGACACTTCCTCATTGAGACAGGCTCTCGGGGGGTCAAGATAAAGGGTTGTCAGAACGAGTCCTATTTCGGTGAGTCCTATTTCTGTCCTGCAGATGTCGCTGTTGGCCTCACAATTACGTCTATCATTGCTTTAATACCCTTTTTTACACTATCATGGAATTCAGTGCTATCTCAGATATTTAATTTCACATTATCCTTCACAGTACAGTTCCGGATACTATGGTGTATGTGTAACCAGGCCAGCGCAGTACAGCTTTGCCTGGCTCAGTAGTGTGAAAATGGTTAGAAAGTGACTTTCCTTCCTCGTCTTCTCTCCTTCACCTGTGATGATCTGATATGCGTATGTGTTTTAGGAAGTTTATCTGCCTTGGTGTACCAGCACTCACTCACCCCTATCTCCCTGCCATGTGCCCTGTGCATCCCTGAGAAAGGTAAATCCCTATGTGTTTCAACAGAATAACTTTGTATCAAACAGTATGGGGGCAGATACTATATGTACAGTGCCTTCGCAAAGTATTCAGACCCCTTGACTTTTTCCAAATTTTGTTACGTTACAGCCTTATTCTAAAATTGATTAAATTGTTTTTTCCCTTATCAATCTACACACAATACCCCATACTGACAAAGCAAAAACAGGTTTTTATAAATGTTTGCTTATTTATAAAAGTAAATGAAATATTACATTTACATAAGTATTCAGACCCTTTACTCAGTACTTTGTTGAAGCACCTTTGGCAGCGATTACAGCCTTGAGTCTTCTTGGGTATGACGCTACAAGCTTGGAACACCAGTATTTGGGGAGTTTCTCCCATTCTTCTCTGCAGATCCTCTCAAGCTCTGTCAGGTTGGATGGGGAGCGTCACTGCACAGCTATTTGCAGGTCTCTCCAGAGATGTTCGATCGGGTTCAGGTCCGGGCTCTGGCTGGGCCACTCAAGGACATCCAGAGACGTGTACCGAATCCACTCCTGCGTTGTCTTGGCTGTGTGCTTAGGGTTGTTGTCCTGTTGGAAGGTGAACCTTCACCTCAGTCTGAGGTCCTGAGCGCTCTGGAGCAGGTTTTCATCAAGGATCTCTCTGTACTTTGCTCCGTTCATCTTTGCCTCGATCCTGACTAGTCTCCCTGCCACTGAAAAACACCCCCACAGCATGATGCTGCCACCACCATGCTTCACCGTAGGGATGATGCCAGGTTTCCTCCCGACGTGACGCTTGGCATTCAGGCCAAAGAGTTCAATCTTGGTTTCATCAGACCAGAGAATCTTGCTCTTTTGGCTAACTCCAAGTGGGCTGTCATGTGCCTTTTACTGAGGAGTGGCTTCCGTCTGGCCACTCCACCATAAAGGCCTGATTAGTGGAGTGCTGCAGAGATGGTTGTCCTTCTGGAAGGTTCTCCCATCTCCACAGAGGATATCTGGAGCTCTGTCAGAGTGACCATCGGGTTCTTGTTCACCTCCCTGAACCAAGGCCCTTCTCCCCCGATTGCTCAGTTTGGCCAGGCGGCCAGCTCTAGGAAGAGTCTTGGTGGTTCCAAACTTCTTCCATTTAAGAATGATGGAGGCCACTGTGTACTTGGGGACCTTCAATCCTGCAGAAACGTTTTGGTACCCTTCCCCAGATCTGTGCCTCGACACAATCCTGTCTCGGAGCTCTACGGACAAATTCCTTCGACCTCATGGCTTGGTTTTTGCTCTGACATGCACTGTCAACTGTGGGACCTTATATAGACAAGTGTGTGCCTTTCCAAATCATGTCCAATCAATTGAATTTACCATAGGTGGCCTCCAATCAAGTTGTAGAAACATCTCAAGGATGATCAATGGAAACAGGATGCACCTGAGCTCAATTTCTAGTCTCATAGCAAAGGGTCTGAATACTTATGTAAATAAGGTATTTCAGTTTTTGTATTTTTAATACATTTGCAAAAATTACAAAAAAACTGTTTTCGCTTTGTTATTATGGGGTATTGTGTGTAGATTAACGAGGAATTGTTTTTATTTAATCCATTTTAGAATAAGGCTGTAACGTAACAAAATGTGGAAAAAGTAAAGGGGTCTGAATACTTTCCTGAAGGCACTGTATACTATACCTGTATCAATAGGGCATGGACTATGTGTGTGCATGACACAATATACAATATACGCTGAGTGTACAAAACATTATGAACACCTGCTCTTTCCATGACATAGATTGACCAGGTGAATCCAGGTGAAAGCTATGATCCCTTATTGATGTCACTTGTTAAATCCACTTCAATCAGTGTACAGTGGGGGAAAAAAGTATTTAGTCAGCCACCAATTGTGCAAGTTCTCCCACTTAAAAAGATGAGAGAGGCCTGTACTTTTCATCATAGGTACAGGTCAACTATGACAGACAAATTGAGAAAAAAAAATCCAGAAAATCACATTGTAGGATTTTAAATGAATTTATTTGCAAATTATGGTGGAAAATAAGTATTTGGTCACCTACAAACAAGAAAGATTTCTGTCTCTCACAGACCTGTAACTTCTTCTTTAAGAGGCTCCTCTGTCCTCCACTCGTTACCTGTATTAATGGCACCTGTTTGAACTTGTTATCAGTATAAAAGACACCTGTCCACAACCTCAAACAGTCACACTCCAAACTCCACTATGGCCAAGACCAAAGAGCTGTCAAAGGACACCAGAAACAAAATTGTAGACCTGCACCAGGCTGGGAAGACTGAATCTGCAATAGGTAAGCAGCTTGGTTTGAAGAAATCAACTGTGGGAGCAATTATTAGGAAATGGAAGACATACAAGACCACTGATAATCTCCCTCGATCTGGGGCTCCACGCAAGATCTCACCCCGTGGGGTCAAAATGATCACAAGAACGGTGAGCAAAAATCCCAGAACCACACTGGGGGACCTAGTGAATGACAATTGGTGGCTGACTAAATACTTTTTTTCCCCACTGTAGATGAGGAGACAGGTTAAAGAAGGATTTTTAAGCCTTGAGACAATTGAGACATGGATTGTGCACGTGTGCCATTCAGAGGGTGAATCGGCAAGACAAAAGATTGAAGTGCCTTTGAACGGGGTATGGTAGTAGTTACCAGGCGCACCGGTTTGTGTCAAGAACTGCAACGCTTCTGGGTTTTTCAATCTCAACAGTTTCCCGTGTGTAGCAAGAATGGTCCACCACCCAAAGGACATCCAGCCAACTTGACACAACTGTGGGAAGCATTGGAGTCAACATGGGCCAGCATCCCTGTGGAATGCTTTCGACACCTTGTAGATAGAGTCCATGCCCCGACGAATTGAGGCTGTTCTGAGGGGAAAATGTGGGGGGCAACTCAATATTAGGAATGTATATTTACATTAAAAAGAGTGTATGGGGTGCACGTGTGTATGAGAAATGTGTATTGGGAGTGTGTAATGTGTAAGTATGGATGCATGTTGTGCATGTACGTACCCAGAGAGTTAGCATGATTTAGTGGTGAGTCATGGGGAAATGTCCTAATGTTGTTATGGTGTTCCAGATCTGGTCGGAGAGATGCAGAGTGCCAGCAACACCAGTACTGCAGCTGACCTCCTCAAACAGGGCGCAGGTGAGAGAAAGTTCAAGGGTCAAATACAGTGGCTGCTCAAGGTACATGGATCCCTATAGAGAGATGGGTAAACAGAGTGGAATGCTAGCATGACTTAGTAAAAAATACTCACATTCTATCAATGCATTGAGCTCGGCAAGCTTATCTCAAGTTAGGTGAGGCCTTGTGTAGGTGTGACATGACCCACTTACATCTCTAAATACTGTTCATCCATCATTCCTCCCCCCCCCCCCCCCCTCCCCTCACCTCCAGCCTGTAACGTGCTCTACCTAAACTCTGTGGAGACCGAGTCACTAACGGGGCCTCAGGCTGTCTCCAAGGCGACCAGGTGCACTCTGACCCAGAGCCCTCAGCCCATGGCCACCATGGTCCACTTCAAAGTGTCCACTCAGGGCATCACGCTGACCGACAGTCAAAGGAGGTGTGTTTTAAAATGTTTTGCAACAGAACACTAAAATGAGCATTTCTTATTGGACCATGGTGTAAGTGTAGGCAGTCCCTCCTTGTTTTAGTCTGTTTCCTCCAGTTTGGTGCCTAATGAATACAACCACTATACAGACTCTTCTTCAGGAGACACTACCCCATCAACAGTGTGACCTTCAGCAGCGTGGATCCTCAGGACAAGAGGTGGGACCAACGTCATGCTAACGTTAAGAGTAGCCTTAAGACAACGCATGGAACGATGGGGTCTGACACTCTGGCTTTAGGCCTATATGCAACCATTGCGACATAGACCTTGTGCACATGTGAATACCACCGAATGAAAGTTGAAATGTGATGTGTCGTGAGCAATGACTTATATGAGCTGTGTAGCGAAGTTGACCTTGTATTTTGACATGGCTGAACACTGCTTTGTTTGGTACACAGATGGCATTGTGGTTCAGGGTTGGGTCAATTAATCTCTAAATTGTTCAATGTTAAAGCGGCAATCAGCAGTAGTAACAATTCCCTGCCCCTGTTTCAGTAAAAACCTGAGGGATGGGGCTGGAGAAATGTAATCACTCAAATTCATAGTCAGATCTATGGATGCAAGGACTGACCATCCATAATATCAACATGATAGTTCTAACCATGTTTTGAGGCTATATAGTGTTGCTTTACATTTACTTAAACAAGCTTATATTTTGGGTTCTGATGGGTTACGACAGTTGAACTAATCTCATGAGGCATTTATAAGTTATTTTCTTCAAGAGTCATTGGGTATATATCATTAATTTCTAAGTACAAAATGGATGTAGTAACTGCTGATTGCCCCTTTAACTTAAAATGAATTTCAAATCAAATGGATCCCAACCCTGTTGTGGCTAAATGTTGCTGTAGCCTACTGCGCATTAACCCTGTATTGCACCATTATGGCTGAATACTGCTACATCTAGAAGGCCTTCTATGGATGTTTCTACATACTGGTATGGTATAAACCTTTTTGTGTATGTGCAACTACAGTATAGTATGTATTTTCTGGTTAAGAACAACAACCCTGACGGTATGACTGCACTTCTTGCTCAATTTGAGAAGCTCCAACTGCCTCAATGCATCTAAGACATGTTGTCTTTATGTCCTTGTCTGTCTATCTGTCTGTCTGTCTGCTTCAGGTGGACTAATTCTGATAACAAGTCAAGCAAGTAAGTGCTTGTGTCTCTGCTTGTGCCTTTGTGTGTAGATAGAATTGTGTGTGCATCATGGCAATTTATCATACAGTGCTCTCCTTTTATAAAAAGATGACTCTTATAAAATTTATCCCTACATTGAATGAACCTTAAGAGAACGACAGTGAATATAAGTCATGTGATGCTCCAGAGTTTCTTCTTATATCTGTGCTTCTCACGAAAAGAGCGCTGAGAAAAAACAGTTTTCTACCATCATAGATTAAAAAAACACAAATCCTATTCTCTTTTATTCACCCGTCTGGTTATCTTATCTCCCACTCCATCCTTTGTTTGGTTTCCTTCTTCACCTCCTCTCATCCCTCTCTCTCGCTCTCTTCATCCCTCACTCCTGCAGGGTGTTTGGTTTTGTGGCAAGGCGGACTGGCAGCACGTCGGAGAATGTGTGTCACCTGTTTGCCGAGATGGACCCGGAGCAGCCGGCTGTGGCCATCGTCAACTTCATCAACAAGGTCATGCTGGGGCCCCAGCAGCAGCAACGCAGATGAGCTAGGACCCCCAGGGGCCACAGAGCAAGGGCAACAACGGGGGATAACTGGGTGTAAATTGGTGTGGGTGGAAGGAAATTGGTGGGTTGGATATGTGTGTCTGCAAATTGGTCAGTGTGTTTGTGTGTACAATTGGTGTGTGTGTGTGTTTTTGCATGTTTGAAGACAGCTGTCCACTGGTGAGGAACCGGATTGGACACAATCATGTCCATCAGGATGGTACATTAGAAAGGTACAGAATAGCTTTTGAGGTGATAGCTTTAAGCTTTTCCTCTACAATTGAGTGAGTGGATTAACACCACCTCTGCCAGGGGAGATTTCGCATTTCATTTTTTTGTAACGTCCATTCAGTTACTGTTTGCCATCACCTTTCATTTAATCATATTATTTATGACTATTAAGTATTTGTAATTTTAAATAGGCAAGCCTTGGAAAAAGCCTGAACGATATCAATGACTAACCAGTTTCCACACATGCAGATATGGAAAATCACTTGTTTTGTTGGTCAGTATTACGTTACCCAATGTCTGTATAGTCAACCTCTTTGAAGAGAAAACAGCCCGGAAGGGGGTTATACAGTAAATACACTGAGTGTACAAAACATTAAGAACACCTGCTCTTTCCATGACATAGACTGACCAGTTGAAAGCTATGATCCCTTATTGATGTCACTTGTTAAATCAACTTCAATCAGTGTAGATGAAGGGGAGGAGACAGGTTAAAGAAGGATTTTTAAGCATTGAGACATGGATTGTGTATGTGTGCCATTCAGAGGGTGAATGGGCAATACAAAAAATTTATGTGACTATGAACAGGGTATGGTAGTAGGTGCCAGGCGCACCGGTTTGTGTCAAGAACTGCAATGCTTCAGGGTTTTTTCACGCTCAACAGTTTCCCGTGTGTATCAAGAATGGTCCACCACCCATAGGACATCCAGCCAACTTGACACAACTGTGGGAAGCATTGGAGTCAACATGGGCCAGCATCCCTGTGGAACGCTTTCGACACCTTGTAGAGTCCATGCCCCGACGAATTGAGGCTGTTCTGAGGGCAAAAGGGGCAGTGCAACTCAATATTAGGAAGGTGTTCTTAATGTTTTGTACACTCAGTGTATGTGTGTGTGTGTGTGTATTGTCAGAAATAGGAATCGGATTGGGAGTCATTTTACTGCATTTATAGTTGGACTGGAATGTCAGCATTTCCTGGGTCATGTTCATTATGTGCCAAACGGACTGAAACAGGGAGGGACTACCTGGACTTGCTGATTTTCGGTTTCTGTTGGAAAACCTTTTGAAAACGTTTTTTCTTGCGTGCCCAAATGAACATGACCATAGTCTTTGTTATGGTTTCTACCATGCCAGTACTGCGGTAGTGACAGGGCTGACATGCCAAAGAGAGGAAAAATTAAGTGATCCTATAGAGGAAGATGAAGAAAGCGAGTTGATAAAGAGCCATATGAACTGTGCACTTTTTAAACCAATGTTTCATTTCACACACAGTATCCCAAATAATATTTTCCAAACCTTAAAATAGCTTTTCTACATTATGTTTATGTATTATTAATGATTGTGCGTTATGCACTTTAGTGTAGCAATTATTAAATGTGAGCGTAGCTCACAATGTAAGTGATATTGGTCTTGCATTGAGATTCAGGAAATAATCTAAATCCTTCCCCCCATAAACTTGTTTGATACCAAACTATATTTCATATGCAAATGAATTCAACCTGCTAGTGAACCATGCAGTCAACTGTAACTTAAAAATAGTCCCAGCTCAACATGCTTCACAATATGGGATACAGCAAGAAAAAAAGAACCGTATGATGATCTTATTTTTACTGTGTTATCTTGGAGAAAGAAGTAGCTTACTGGTATCTGAGGACAACTATAATATCACAGTAGAGAAAGGCTTCCATCAACACCAAAGGAGTACGAATTCGTATTGTCTAATTGCCAGGGCACGCAAATAAATTCCACTGAAGCCAAAGGCAATAACCAAGCACTCGTATTTTGTTTTGTATAGCTACACTGTATTATTGAGACTTGGTTATTTTATACTATTTTTGCTGTTTTGTTATCGAGTGTTTTATATGACAAAACATTGCAGTATTTAGATTAATTACGTGTTTGTATTTTCCATATGGAGTTTATATGACAATAATATATTTGAAGTGTCTGAAAAAGTTTATAGGCCTAACAAATGGTGTAAGAACAAAAAAAATCTATTTTTTTTGTTGAAAATTGAGTAAATAAAAGGGTAAAAAAATGAGTTCTGTCTGGCTTTATTGCAATTCCCTCTGAGAAATCTTGTGATATTTCCTTGGGATTTTATTAGATCCATCAAAATACTCGTAATAGGCCTGTGGTGGTAGACTATTTATGGGGATAGCAGAGCAGACGTATTGATATGAGACTACAAATCCACATTTATATCTGAGATATAACCACCAGTAATTATACTGTTAATAAGATTGGCAATTTATAAATTGTGTGACTAAGGATATTTTTTATCAAAAGGACGAGGTCCTACCGAGATTTGAACTCGGATCGCTGGATTCAAAGTCCAGAGTGCTAACCATTACACCATAGGACCGCTCTCGGCTTATACATCTGAAAGCAGTGTTGTTATACTGCGTACAATATCTTGTCAGCTAGCTACTCGTCCTTTAGTAACGCAATTCAAGCTTATAGTTGCAACTTTGACAGCAGCCATTTACAACGTGGAATTGCAAAAACATGCAAGCCTAAATGCTGGCCAAAACTAAAAGTCATGGCTAGCTAGCAAACTAGCTAATAATCTAGCCCGCCAGCTACTGCATAGAGCAGCATGGGAGCTAACCAGCTGGCTAGCTCTCCCCTCGTAGTTTGCTGCTAGTTAGCTACGTACAGCTAGCAAATAACACCGATCTTATGAATTAATTCGTCCTCGATTCTATTTTCACTATTTTAACAGTTAGCTGAGGGTTTCTCCTCCTAGCATGCAAAAGTCACAAGCCAGCAAACGTAAGCATAGTTATGCTATCTGTTAGCTAGCTAGCTAAATTCAACCAATAAAGGCAAGACGGTTCGTAAACGTAGAAGACGAATCCCGGTTTCTGTAGGACATAATACGGCATACAACTACGCAAGTTCTAGTAGCCTAGCTAGCTGTGCTGCAAGTGTGCTTCCTGCATATGCATGATGGCATTGTTTCTGGCCCTTGTTATGTTGCAGCTGACGTATACAGCCTGTTGAGTGGGATAGATGCCGCGTTGAAGTTGGAGTCGGAACTAGGAAACTCCGAAATGTCCGACTTGCTAACTTGTTGTAGTTATACACCTGGCGCATTAACGAAACAGCAAGTCAAGGTGCATGGGTAGGCCAGGGTCACATTACTGTAATGCCATAGAGTTTATACTGTACTGTCTTTGGTCATGCTCAACCTAAAAACTGGAAACGAAACCTCTGGTTTGTTCAGCCATTCATTCCTACGGGGTAAATGATTTGGGAAAGAATGGGGTTTTGGGATAAACGCCACAAAAAGTGACGTTAGCTGATGAAGATTAACTCAGAGAACAAAACGTATAAAATGTCCTAAGCCTGTGTTTTTTTTTTAAAATAAAAAATAAAAAAATAAATAAACACATTAATTTCCCCATAGGCTTTGGCCAACGAGCCATGGCGAAGTTAGCATTTGTTAGTTCATACAAAACGACGCCATTACTATTGCTCTCTATATTCAGTAAATAAATAATTTTGGGCACCTAACTAGGCTTTTTATATGGTCAGTATGAATGGCTTTGAAGCTGTGAATTATTCATTATTAATTTCAATCTTAGTTGGCTAAAGATGCTCAAATGACAGATACATTGTAAAGAGAACACAACTTACATTCAGTATAACACATTCAAAGGTAATTAACAAAGGGAAAAGGTATAAACTCAAACTCTTGAACAATCACTTGAATGTTACTCAGGCTGCCACACTGATTTGTATTTGTATTTATTAGGGATCCCAATTAGATGCTGCCAAGGCAAAAACAAACAAAAGGTACATCATATAACATTAATACACCACTACATATCTACACTACAAAATGTATAATACCACCATTCAACAATATTTTAATGTACTGTACATGCGTGTGCCTGTATGTGTGTGTGTGTGTGTGTGTGTGTGTGTGTGTGTGCCTGTGTGTGTGTCTTCACAGTCCGCGGTGTTCCATAATGTGTAGTTTAATCATTTTTTTTTTTTATCCGATTTTACTGCTTGCATGGGTTACTTGATGTGGAATAGAGTTCCATGTAGTCATGGCTCTATGTAGTACTGTGTGTTTCCCAGAGTCTGTTCTGGACATGGGGACTGTGAAGAGACCCCTGGTGGCCTATCTTGTGGGGTATGTATGGGTGTCTGAGCTGTGTGTTAGCTGTATGAACAGACAGCTCTGTGCTTTCAACATGTCAATACCTCTCACAAAGACAAGTAGGGATGCAGTCAATCTCTCCTCTACTTTGAGTCAGGAGAAATTGACATGCATGTCATTGATGTTAGCTCTCTGTGTACATTTAAGGGCCAGCCGTGCTACTCTGTTCTGGGCCAACTTTAATTTGCGACAACTCTAGGGCCTGTAGGACTTGTTTTGTTGATAGCAATGTCAAGAAAGCAGAGCAGCACTTTATTACGGACAGACCTCTCCCCATCTTAACTACTGTTGCATCAATATGTTTTGACCAATATAGTTTACAATGCAGGGTTACTCCAAGCAGTTTAGTCTCCACAACTTGCTCAATTTCCACATTATTCATTACAAGATTTAGTTGAGGTTTAGGGTTTAGTGAATGATTTGTCACAAACACAGTTTTTATTTAGGACTAACTTATTTCACTGACTCACCCAATGATGCGCATCTCACTCACTGGTGATGGCCAATGCGCTCATGCCAAAAGCCTCTCTCTCTCTCTCTCTCTCTCTCTTGTAAAACAATATTTGGAAGTTGATCAAATATTTTGGTAGCCTACAGCATAGAGTTTTCACTTTTCAGCAGGAACCATTTGCTTTCCAACCTGTGTTTCCCTCGATTGTATTTGAAATATTGCGAAGGGCCTATTTTGTCTGCATGCTGTTTGCTAACTGACAGATTTGCAGCGCGTTCTCGACTGTAGGCTATTCCTTGTTATTGGGCTACAATCCACAGCAAGGCTATAAAAAAAAGAAGCTATTGATCATCTGTGGATAAATTATAGTTCTTCTTATGGTGTAGTAGGCTATTTTGAATGATTTCATTTATTTCTGAACAGACAGCAGTAATTCTATAATTTTGGCAAATGTATTTAAATGTATCAGGGGTGCTGCAGTTCCTTCAGAACCCTAAGTGTGGCTATGATTCTATAAGGTAATAAATGATGAAGTGCAACGCTGGAGAGATGAGAGTTGCAGGCTCATGTCTATCAGAGCAGAGAGGGAGAGAGATCATAGAAAGTTAATCTCATTCTAGTTATGTGAGAGATACTGCCGCGCTTCTAACACAGCCAAGGCCAAGCGTTGGTCTCAAACATAGGTTACAATGTTGCGCAAACCATAAACCCGGGGCCCAACCCGAATTAACTCTTAGAATATTAGGCCCCGGCTGAAAATCAACTTTTTCACATTACCATTTTTGGTGGGGGCAGGAGAATTAATGAAGAGGCAACTCAAATTAACTTTGATGGCTTCTATTATAATTTTTACATTGCAAAAAGTGAAAATTATTTTTTATGCCACGAGATTTACCGGATTCTGACAAATAGGTTCCAGAACTAAACAGTCCAAAACGGAGAGGTGACGGATCCTGTTCCGGCAGGATCCAGCTCAAATTAAGCAGGCACAGCTGAGTGACATAATATATATAACTTTTTTTTTACCGACTCACCGTCCCTCATCTCTTCCTCTGCTGAGGAAAGGGGACACAGTCTTCCAGCTGATGGCGAAACTTAAGTCGCACTGCATCACTTCTGCGTCATGCACCAATTCATGTTGTTACTCCTATGAGCAGATCAAGTTAAATATTCCTCGATATTAAAAGACACAAGCCGGAAATAATAACGCAAGCTTATCGAAACGAGCATTTTATAGCTTATAACACTGTTGAACAGTGTTGACAGTGCTGAATGACAAATTAAACATGAACTTTCTGATAACAAAATCTCACATTATAAACTTTTCTATGCGTTCGAGGCATCTTTTTACAGTCTATTGCGCAAGGAAACTGCAGACACGGTGATCTGAGCTATCTGATTGTTCAGCGGTAGGTGCTCTTTGGGCCTGCCGGCTAGGCGGAGTTCTACCTTCAGACACATGCAATGGTACAAAATGAGAACACTTTTTCTTCCCGGCGCTAGGGCAGCTGAATCAAGTGCACCTACCGTCAACAGCACGAAACAAATAAAAAAAACACAAGGCTTTTTTATCATTGGTTGGGTTTTTACTGAAATGTTTGGTGATCGACTAGAAAAACCTGTCTGGTCGTTTGTCTTGCGAGCAGTGGTGGAAAAAGTACTCAATTGTCATACTTGAGTAAAAGTAAAGTAACCTTAATAGAAAATGACTCAAGTAAAAGTGAAAGTTACCCAGTCAAATACTGCTTGAGTAAAAGTTTAAAAGTATTTGGTTTTAAATATACTTAAGTATCAAAAGTAAATGGAATTGCTAAAATATACTTAAGTATCAAAAGAAAAGTATAAATCATTTCAAATTCCTTATATTAAGCACACCAGATGGCACAATTGTTTTATTTATATATATTTTTATTTACAGATAGCCAGAGGCACACTCCAACACAATTTACAAACGAAGCATTTGTGTTTAGTGAGTCTGCCAGATCAGAGGCAGTAGGGATGACCAGGGATGTTCTGTTGATAAGTGCATGAATTGGACCATTTTCCTGTCAAAATGTAACGAGTACTTTTCGGTGTCAGGGAAAATGTATGGAGTAAAAAGTACATTATTTTCTTTAGGAATGTAGTGAAGTAAAAGTTGCCAAAAATATAAATAGTAAAGTAAAGTACAGATACCCCAAAAACTACTTAAGTAGTACTTTAAAGTATTTTTTACTAACTGTAAGTACTTTACACCACTGCTTGCGAGCATGAAGAGGCCAGAGATTGCCTAGACTAGTAAATTGGGCTAAGGAACAGAAGTTGGGTATTGGAGAAAGGACATCAGTGTGTGTTCTGCAAACAATGTAGTGGATCAAGGTGCGGAAAGAGCTTGGTGAACGGATAGACATGGTAATGGACAGCGAGGAATAAGGAGAAGAGCTGAGTGCAGAGGGAAGATGTGTGTTGAGGAAGAATGGCAGTACTAACCTTACTCTGGTGTCTCTAATAGCTCAGAAATTGAACCTGACGAGAGTGAGGATGAATTACCTGCGGTGGCAAAGACCCCCGAGCCGAGCCCCGATGGTCATGCAAAGGATGATTCTGGCCCAGTGGGAGTGAAATGTTTGGAGAAAGTGTATCTCTGCCTTTATAGTATCAGGCTGAGTGTTAAATCGTTTGGGTGAAGGTAGCTGCCTTGGGACAAGACATTTACATTACATTTACATTTTAGTCATTTAGCAGACACTCTTATCCAGAGCGACTTACAGTTAGTGAGTGCATACATTTTCATACTGGCCCCCCGTGGGAAACGAACCCACAACCCTGGCGTTGCAAGCACCATGCTCTACTAACTGAGATACAGGGGACTTTGACTTGCTTTGCTCTCCGGAGCAGGGTACCTTTGAAAGGAGTGATTACTGGGGTGGCGGTTAAGTGTTGAGGTGGAGCAACTGAAATGGAAGATTCCCTGTGTCTGTGACGCCCGCCGTTTGGTGCTACGCAGACCCGGTGGCAAACGTGATGAATCTCAGAAGACACTGTCTGTTCAACTTGTAAAGCAGAGTCTTTACCTGACAAAGTCATGTTAGGATATATCAGTTATCCCACGAGAGCTTTTGTGCCGAACCCACTAAGGTGTTTCAGATGCCAAGCTTATAGTCATGTTGCAGTAGTGTGTAGGACAGAGATTCAGAGATGTGAGAATTGTGCAGGAGGGCATCGGACAAATTAATGTGTAGTATCGGTGGGAAAAACGGTGTCAATTGTGGGGGTGCCCATGTTGCTGGGTATCAGAAGTATCCAGTGCGAGAGACAGGTTGAGGGTGCCACTGTCAGAGTAGAAGAAAGGTGTTATATGCTGAGGCAGTGAACAGAGTACAGGATGATAGGTCAAGGGATGGGTACAGAGTGAATTTGTGCTTCAGTAAGGTTGGCTTCTTAGCATTCATTGCTATGGCTATCAACTGTAGAGCAGAAATGGAACGTAAATCACAGAAAATAGATGTTGTGATGGCAGCTGCAGAAGTACTTGGGTGTACGAGATTTTACTGCAGAAGAGTTAAGATGTGTTGAAGAAAGAGACCAGCCCTCCCAGGCAGACGGCCAGGTGTAGGATCAGTTAGGGTTAAAGTAGTGGAATATTTTAATTTTTAAGGAATAGTGGTATATAGGTGTAGGGCTAGTTGGTGGGGCCATTTTTGACCTTTCCCCCTTCCTTTACATTTTTGTGTCACAAAATGTACTGTGGTCCTGTGTGGCTCAGTTGGTAGAGCATGGCACTTGCAACGCCAGGGTTGTGGGTTCGATTCCCACGGGGGACCAGTACTAACAAATGCGAAAATGTATGCACTACTGTAAATTGCTCTGGATAATGTAAATGGTTAAGAGCGTCTGCTAAATGACTAAAATGTAAATGTAAATTGACCACACACTCCCGCACAGTAGGTGGCGGCATCCACAAACAAAACGTGTGAACGCCATGATGTCAAAGAAGAAGCAGTTCCGCCCCTGCAGGAAGTGGAGGTGACAGGTGATTGGTTGAAGTGTCATTCAGGAAGTGGTTGGGGCATTTTCTACAACTTGTGTCAGCTAAAAGTTCTACATACGATATAACCTAGGAGGCCTCCAACTTTCTACAACTACAAGATAGCAACTCTGAACAGTTGGAGGAAACTGCATCAATACTGAGATTTGAAAGCACTTCTGACTAAACAAAACTGAAGTATACTGCTTCCTTCAGAGGCCATTACATAATATCGTGACAGGTTGGGATTTCTTCAAGAAAATGGCTTCCAAACATTCTCCCCAAGAAGATGATTTATCCTGTCCTGTGTGCTGTGACATCTTCAGGGATCCTGTACTCTTGTCGTGTAGCCATAGCTTCTGTAAAGACTGTCTGAAGGAATTCTGGAAACAAAAGGCATCTCGGGAATGTCCCATTTGCAGTAGAAGATCCTCAAAGGAAGAACCTCCTTGTAACCTGGTTTTAAAGAATCTGTGTGTGGGCTTCTCAGATGAGAGGAGTCGGAGAGCTTCAGCAGGGTCTGAGGTGCTCTGCAGTCTGCATGGCGAAAAACTCAAACTTTTCTGTCTGTATGATAAACAGCCAGTGTGTTTGGTGTGTCATACTTCTAAAAAACATGCACAACACAAGTTCTGTCCCGTCGATGAGGCTGCACAGGATTATAAGGTAGGGGAAGTTACTCTGAAAATATACTGTATAGTATACAGTTACGTCACACAGGAAAAAGTTAAGCTAAATAAAGTAAAGTTTGAAAAAGTATTTCACTACTTCGTGAAAAATGATATCTAAATCGTAAATGTCAAACTATAAATTGCAAGAACAGATCACTGGAGTCAGATATTAGTTAGCCTAATTTCAGTTTGTGACAAAACAAGCAAGTGTAGAAAATCATTGTACAATCATTCTACTAAGCCGCTGTGAAATATATTTCCAGTAAGTAAGGGATAATCAACAAGAGGTTATGCGTTCTGTGTAAGAAGGTGTGTGCCACGACGCGCTAGCGGAGTGCAACTGACCTTCCACGGAGTTGCATTATTTTCCAGAGAATGCATCGAGCCACGAATTGATTATTCCTTTTATACCATCGCTATAATTGAACACATTCAACATCCACTGAAGTAGCTAGCAAATTTACGAGATACACAGTAGTTGCCTTGGTAACCAAACAAACAGACTTCCTAGTTTAGCTAACCAAACCATCAGTCCTAGCTTGCTATTATGAACATCGAATTCAACAATGCCAATAATGTTTTCAATTTGACTTTTGCTTTCAAAAGCAGCTCAAACATATAACATGTAAGAATTAACTATAGACATTTAATTCTTTGAATTCTACCGTGCAAGTATGCATGCTCTAGAATGCCCTTCAAGCCAATCAGAAAAGAGTATTCAACAATGCCATGGTATAACCAAAAATATTGTATTTTCAGCTGTTTGAAGCTGGTGTACAAAACCGAAAGTAAAAGATGCAAAAACTAAACTGAAGGCCAGCCACCACACCTCAGCATATTTTTCCCCCTTAATTATATCACAATCAAGTTCTACAAGTTGAATGTAGACACAAATATTATACTTTTTGTATTAGCATTTCTCAGAAATATTGTATTAAAATATGCAAATTAGGTGATCTCTCCTTAAATATGCACAAACAGTATTTGCATATTGTGCAAATCAATTTTTCTGGACACTGGATGAAGTCAGCCAAAATATTTTTCGCTTCAGGACCGGACTTGTCCAGAGCAGAATGTGGATAAATACTTTTTTCAGCTTTCTATCTGTAAAATACTAAAGACATGTACACAAAATGAAATTGTTGTGAATTTAAAAAAATTAAATCTTATCTCAAATAAAAAATTGACAACATAACAAAAATTCCCTCTGGGCAAGTCTGGAGAATATATCTAAGGATAAGCACACAAAATGTGGTGAATGCAGATGCTTCTGAAGTTGAGAAAAATGGGTTGGCTTGTGGGAAGTATCTGACTTTTGGGAAATGGCAGTTAAAGACAAGTGCATTGAATTTAGACCCAATCACCATCTCTCTTCAAAGTAAATTGCTAAATATAGTCCAGTTTATAACATTCTCTATGAAATGTAGAACGTTTTGCAATTATTGATGTATGTCCATTGTAAGGTGGTTAAAATTCATTAAAATGTTAATGACGGTAGTATGATAAACTAAATAAATTAAACAAATATTTGACATTTTTATGTTTACTTTTTGAACATACTAATATTAATGGACCAAAATACCAACAAATCTCAAAATTGATAGGTAGATGCAAAAATGTCATTTCAGTCTTAAGAACGAGAAGCATAGAAATAGCACACATAGAACAGAGCTACCGTAATTGCTTTTACCTGCCCTGGGACTACGGGTTAGCTTTTGACTAACCCCGGCACATTTACATGGATGTTGCATTATTGTAATATTGATGTTGATTAATGTGCATTGTCCCCTATAAATAAATCAATTAAATTAAATAAAAATATATACATATATATATAAATATGTTGGTATAAAATGTCCAAACCTCAACAGAATAAGGTTGTAGTCATAAATGTATTATGGCTTATAGTGTTTGGGAGTAGTGCAACTACATGTAATTCAATTAGTAATTTAATTACATTTTGCAGTAGCTTTGTGGCAGTTGAATTAAATTCAAATCTTGGTATAGTGTTTTCAGTAGTTAATAACTTTTTTGCCATGTAGTGGTGTAGCTAACAACAGGAACTACACAGTACCTTTTTTTTTTGTTGCACAAATGTAATATGGGTGAAGTAAGCAAGAATATCCTTTATTTTTCGACATCAGACCTGCCTTATTCTCACTTGAAACACTGTGTGACTAATTCTCACTTTTTGTGCAAATTCACATAGAAATGTGAGTTATACATCTGTCATTCTCATTGAAAGCAAGTCTAAGTAGCACAGCCACAATACAAATACACACTAAAATAATACAAAATACAAATACATGACATCCTATAATATACAATTCTAACAACAACAACAACAACTTATTCATAATAAAAACACTGTTGTCTTACATATGAGGAACCACAGATAACTCATGTGCACAGGTTTGGATAGATTTGAGCCATGTTTTTAAATTTAAATTTAAAAGTACAATAATATAAAGTAATAAAAACAGGAATATACTTTCTTTCAAAGTAGTGTCCATTTTTCATTCTAGGAGGAACTCACAACTACATTGAAGCCTTTACAGATGAAGTTGAAGGCCTTTAAAGAAGTAAAACTAACCTGTGATGAAACCGCAAAGCAAATTAAGGTGAGTTTGCTGAATAATGCTGTACAATACAACTGCACAGAAGTGAGTTTGTGGACTGAATGTAAGAATGGTAGTTACAGTGGGGAAAAAAAGTATTTAGTCAGCCACCAATTGTGCAAGTTCTCCCACTTAAAAAGATGAGAGAGGCCTGTAATTTTCATCATAGGTACACGTCAACTATGAGAGACAAATTGAGGGGAAAAAATCCAGAAAATCACATTGTAGGATTTTTAATGAATTTATTTGCAAATTATGGTGGAAAATAAGTATTTGATCACCTACAAACAAGCAAGATTTCTGGCTCTCACAGACCTGTAACTTCTTCTTTAAGAGGCTCCTCTGTCCTCCACTCGTTACCTGTATTAATGGCACCTGTTTGAAGTTGTTATCAGTATAAAAGACACCTGTCCACAACCTCAAATAGTCACACTCCAAACTCTACTATGGCCAAGACCAAAGAGCTGTCAAAGGACACCAGAAACAAAATTGTAGACCTGCACCAGGCTGGGAAGACTGAATCTGCAATAGGTAAGCAGCTTGGTTTGAAGAAATCAACTGTGGGAGCAATTATTAGGAAATGGAAGACATACAAGTCCACTGATAATCTCCCTCGATCTGGGGCTCCACGCAAGATCTCACCCTGTGGGGTCAAAATGATCACAAGAACGGTGAGCAAAAATCCCAGAACCACACGGGGGGACCTAGTGAATGACCTGCAGAGAGCTGGACCAAAGTAACAAAGCCTACCATCAGTAACACACTACGCCGCCAGGGACTCAAATCATGCAGTGCCAGACGTGTCCCCCTGCTTAAGCCAGTACATGTCCAGGCCCTTCTGAAGTTTGCTAGAGTGCATTTGGATGATCCAGAAGAGGATTGGGAGAATGTCATATGGTCAGATGAAACCAAAATATAACTTTTTGGTAAAAACTCAACTCGTCGTGTTTGGAGGACAAAGAATGCTGAGTTGCATCCAAAGAACACCATACCTACTGTGAAGCATGGGGGTGGAAACATCATGCTTTGGGGCTGTTTTTCTGCAAAGGGACCAGGATGACTGATCCGTGTAAAGGAAAGAATGAATGGGGCCATGTATCGTGAGATTTTGAGTGAAAACCTCCTTCCATCAGCAAGGGCATTGAAGATGAAATGTGGCTGGGTCTTTCAGCATGGCAATGATCCCAAACACACCGCCCGGGCAACGAAGGAGTGGCTTCGTAAGAAGCATTTCAAGGTCCTGGAGTGGCCTAGCCAGTCTCCAGACCTGAACCCAATAGAACATCTTTGGAGGGAGTTGAAAGTCCGTGTTGCCCAGCGACAGCCCCAAAACATCACTGCTCTAGAGGAGATCTGCATGGAGGAATGGGCCAAAATACCAGCAACAGTGTGTGAAAACCTTCTGAAGACTTACAGAAAACGTTTGACCTGTGTCATTGCCAACAAAGGATATATAACAAAGTATTGAGAAACTTTTGTTATTGACCAAATACTTATTTTCCACCATAATTTGCAAATACATTCATTAAAAATCCTACAATATGATTTTCTGGATTTTTTTTTTTCATTTTGTCTGTCATAGTTGACGTGTACCTATGATGAAAATTACAGGCCTCTCTCATCTTTTTAAGTGGGAGAACGTGCACAATTGGTGGCTGACTAAATACTTTTTTCCCCCACTGTATATTCAAGTATATTTGACATATTTCTCTCACGGCCTCCAGCTACAGGCCCAGGACACAGAGAGGCAGATTGAGGAGGAGTTTGAGAAGCTTCACGAGTTGCTTCGAGAGGACAAGGCAGCCAGACTAGCTACTCTGAAGGAGGAAGAGAAGAAGAAGAGTGAGATGATGAAGAAGAAGACTGAGGAGATGAGAAGAGGGATATCATCACTTTCAGACACAATCAGAGCCGTAGAGAAGGAGCTGAAAGCAGAAGATGTATCATTCCTGCATGTAAGAACCAATAACTTGTTTATATTATTTGAGATGCATTTATTGATGAACTGATGTGATATCATGTATAACGCTGTTTACATGTATTATTCATTTTGTATTTTGTTCTTCTGTAGAACTATAAGGCCACAGTGAAAAGGTAAGTGATCTGCCTCTTGTCTCTCTTCTGTGGTTCTTAACAAAGTTATGCCAACCCCACAGTACAACTGATTCCTGAATATTCTACCAGGGCCCAGTGCACACTGCCGAATCCAGAGAAGGTTTCAGAACCACTGATCCATGTGGCCAAGCACCTTGGCAACCTACATAGATCATGTGTGAAGATACAGGAAATTCTTAAAGAGGTTTTTCAATATAGTGAGTATGATTGTTACAATTAACACGTTTATTTACTAACTGAAGTGAATACATAATGCCCCTTTTAAAGTATGCAATTGTGAAACGCTAGGCCTGGATCAATTACATATAATACAGTGTTTCAATTACTGAAAAATCGGGGAGGACAGGCTCGTGGTAATGGTTGGAGCGGAATGAGTGGGATGGTATCAAACACATGGTTTCCCTGTGTTTGATGCCATTTCATTCACTTCGTTCCAGCCATTATTGTGAGCCATCCTTCCCTCAGCAGCATCCACTGATTTAGATATAGTGATTTGAGAATATTGGAATGTATTTGGAAACAGGAAAGTATTTGACAACACTTTCAAAAACCTTTTGGTAGAGTTTTACAAGTAGGCATTCCAATACTTCAAATAGAGGTAGTTGTTTTGGGCTATGTATTTGAAAAAACTCAAATACATAAATCATCTATTTGAACCCAGGTCTGATAGTCTATTTTCTGTCTAGCTGCTGTGACTCTGGACCCCAAGACTGCTCATCCAAGTCTCATCCTGTCTGAGGATTTGACCAGTGTGATATTCGGTGTGGCTCAACAGCTTCCTGACATCCCAGAGAGGTTTGATCGTGCATTTGTCCTGGGCTCTGAGGGCTTTAACTCGGGGACAAACTTCTGGGATGTTGAGGTTGGGGAAAATGCATCATGGGCCCTGGGTGTGATCACAGAATCTGTACCGAGGAAGGGGCGTATACGCAATGGACTCTGGTGTCTATATTATGATTCTGAAGGTGAATACTCAGCAGAATCCCCACCAAAGCCAACCATTCCCCTCACAGTGAGACACACACCCCAGAGGATCAGAGTGAAGCTGGACTGGGACAGAGGAGAGCTGTCATTCTCTGACCCTATTAATAAAACACACCTACACACAATCGCACAAACTTTTACTGAGAGAGTCTTTCCCTGCTTTTGTAACTTCTCTAAACGGCAGCCTCTAAAGATCGTGCCATAACAGTGGAAAAAATATAGTTCGAGCTGATAATGTCTCTTACCATACAATGTTGAATCAAGCCACCTAGCTACTGTTTGAAAACAAGATATTATAGTGACTTGGACGATTTGAACTTCATGTTCAAACTGTTGATATGGCATAAGAGAGTAGAAAACTGACAAGTAGTACTCTGCCCTGCACCTTAAAGACATAGTCATTGAACACTGGTCACTTTAATTATGCTTACATACTGTTTTACCCACTTCATATGTATATACTGTATTCTAGTCAAGGCTAATCCTTGAGGGAAAAAAGTATTTGATCCCCTGCTGATTTTGTACGTTTGGCCACTGACAAAGAAATGATCAGTCTATAATTTTAATGGTAGGTTTATTTGAACAGTGAGAGAATAACAACCAAAAAATCCAGAAAAACGCATGTAAAAAATGTTATAAATTGATTTCCATTTTAATGAGGGAAATAAGTATTTGACCCCCTCTCAATCAGAAAGATTTCTGGCTCCCAGGTGTCTTATACAGGTAATGAGCTGAGATTAGGAGCACACTCTTAAAGGGAGTGCTCCTAATCTCAGCTTGTTACCTGTATAAAAGACACCTGTCCACAGAAGCAATCAATCAATCAGATTCCAAACTCTCCACCATGGCCAAGACCAAAGAGCTCTCCAAGGATGTCAGGGACAAGATTGTAAACCTACACAAGGCTGGAATGGGCTACAAGACCACCGCCAAGCAGCTTGGTGAGAAGGTGACAACAGTTGGTGCGATTATTGGCAAATGGAAGAAACACAAAAGAACTGTCAATCTCCCTCGGCCTGGGGCTCCATGCAAGATCTCACCTTGTGGAGTTGCAATGATCATGAGAACGGTGAGGAATCAGTCCAGAACTACACTGGAGGATCTTGTCAATGATCTCACGGCAGCTGGGACCATAGTCACCAAGAAAACAATTGGTAACACTACGCCGTGAAGGACTGAAATTCTGCAGCGCCCGCAAGGTCCCCCTGCTCAAGAAAGCACATATACATGCCCGTCTGAAGTTTGCCAATGAACATCTGAATGATTCAGAGGAGAACTGGGTGAAAGTGTTGTGGTCAGATGAGACCAAAATGGAGCTCTTTGGCATCAACTCAACTTGCCGTGTTTGGAGGAGGAGGAATGCTGCCTATGACCCCAAGAACACCATCCCCACCGTCAAACATGGAGGTGGAAACATTATGCTTTGGGGGTGTTTTTCTGCTAAGGGGACAGGACAACTTCACCGCATCAAAGGGACGATGGACGGGGCCATGTACCGTCATATCTTGGGTGAGAACCTCCTTCCCTCAGCCAGGGCATTGAAAATTGGTCGTGGATGGGTATTCCAGCATAACAATGACCCAAAACACACGGCCAAGGCAACAAAGGAGTGGCTCAAGAAGAAGAACATTAAGGTCCTGGAGTGGCCTAGCCAGTCCCCATAGAAAATCTGTGGAGGGAGCTGAAGGTTTGAGTTGCCAAACGTCAGCCTCGAAACCTTAATGACTTGGAGAAGATCTGCCAAGAGGAGTGGGACAAAATCCCTCCTGAGATGTGTGCAAACCTGGTGGCCAACTACAAGAAATGTCTGACCTCTGTGATTGCCAACAAGGGTTTTGCCACCAAGTACTAAGTCATTTCTTTGTCAGTGGGCAAACGTACAAAATCAGCAGGGGATCAAATACTTTTTTCCCTCACTGTAACTACTGCTGTACACACCTTTTCTATTCATATACTGTCCATACTGTCTATAAACACCATTATTATATATATATATATATATATATTCCGGACTCTGATATTGCTCGTGCTGATATTTCTTAATTTTTATTTTTTGGGATTTGTGTTTATTGTTTTGTATTGTTAGGTATTACTGCACTGTTGGAGCTAGAAACATAAGCATTCCGCTGCACCTGCGATAACATCTGCAGAATATGTATACGCGACCAATAAAATTTGATTTGATTTAGTCTAAGCTTAGTGGAGTATAAACCTGTTATTTCTTTGTCTTAGATACGTTTGATTTGTTAATCATTAGCTCTTATTGTCTTAAGAATACAGTTATGTACATGACTGCTGATCAATTACATGGAAATACAAAGCCATACTGTAACTGTCATTCCTTATTCCACGATTAAAGCAAATACATGCTATTGTTTTTTTGTTTTGTCTGTAAGTGTGGAACAGCTTACACGTAGCACAGTAATAGCTGATAATGTCTTACCATAATGTTACACCAAACTACGATCCTAACCCACTGATAATCCCATTATTTAATATTCTCACACTAGTATAGCATACTTTTTGACAGCTGGAGAAAGCACAGAAAGTTTCTTCAGAAATGCACGTTTTTCCATTTTATCCTGGTGTTGTATGGATGTAGTTATAGCCTGTAGAGGGGGATAGAGTCACAGGCCAGGGTCAGGCAATGGTCACCAATAACGCTCAACCAGAGAGGAATATTCAGTAAATTAAGAATCTTTGGCTGAACCTAACTGTGCTGAATTCAAGGATTTTGCATTGGAGGGTCCCAAAGTGATTTTTGTTCCAGTTCCAACCCTAGTGTGTGTTCATGTTTGTTTGTGTGTGTGGCTAGTGATAGGTCATCAAAGTACTTTACAATGCATTTGACTTACTTTTTATGACAGTGAACTCATGACAGCTGTCCTGGGTAAAGTCCCTCACACTGTATCATTCAGCTTGCATCAGCTATATGTGTAATATACCAGGGCCCGGTGTCCCAAAATCATCTTAAGGTGATTGAGAGGATTTTAGGATCCTATGGTTGTAACGATGAACTTAGCCTTAAGATGATTTTGGGAAACTGAGCCCTGCTGTGTTCGACATTGGATACGATATAGGACTCAAAGTTAATCAAACGTTTTCTACCACTACAAGATAGCAACTCTGAAGAACAGGAGAAAACTGCATCAATACTGAGATTTGAAAGCACATCTGACTAAACAAGACTGAAGTATGCTGCTCCTTTCAGACAATCAGCGTCGTAGAGGAGGAGCTGAAACCAGAAGATATCTCATTATTGCAGGTAAGAACCAACAGCTCTGTGACAAGAAGACATTATTTGAGATACATTTACTGATGAACTGATTTCACCTAATGTGTTATGATTTATTATTGGTCTTTGTTCTACAGAACTATAAGGCCACAGTGAGAAGGTAAGCCTCTTGTCTCCCTCTCTTCTCGCTGGTTCTTAACCTAGGGTGCTAAGGTTATTCTTAACCCGACCCCACGGTAGAACTGACTCCTGAATATTCTTTCAGTGCACACTGCCGGATCCAGAGAGGGTTTCATGAGCACTGATCCATGTGGCCAAGCACCTTGAAAACCTGCACATATTTTGTGGGAAGATGCAGGAAATTGGTTAAATGTTTGCTCAATACAGTGAGTATGATTGTACTGTTACATGTTTAAAAAAAATATATATTTAACCTTTATTTAACTAGGCAAGTCAGTTAAGAACAAACTTAACTGGGCAAAAGGCCTCCTGCGGGGACAGGGGCTGGGATTCAATAAATAAATAGAAATATAGGACCAAACACACATCACAACAAGAGAGACCTAAGACAACAACATAGCATGGCAGCAACACACGACAATACAGCAAGGTAGCAATCCAACATGAAAACAACATGGTAGCAGCACAAGACATGGTACAAACATTATTGGGCACAGACAACAGCACAAAGGGCAAGAAGGTAGAGACAACAATACATCACACGAAGCAGCCACAACTGTCAGTAAGTGTCCATGATTGAGTCTTTGAATGAAGAGATGGAGATAAAACTGTCCAGTTTGAGTGTTTTTTGCAGCTCGTTCCAGTCGCTAGCGGCAGCGAACTGGAAAGAGGAGCGACCCAGGGATGTGTGTGCTTTGGGGACCTTTAACAGAATGTAACTGGCAGAACGGGTGTTGTATGTAGAGGATGAGGGCTGCAGTAGGTATCTCAGATAGGGGGGAGTGAGGCCTAAGAGAGTTTTGTAAATAAGCATCAACCAGTGGGTCTTGCGACGGGTATACAGAGATGACCAGTTTACAGAGGAGTATAGTGTGCAGTGATATGTCCTATAAGGAGCATTGGTGGCATATCTGATGGCCGAATGCCATGGTAAAGAACATCTAGCAGCTCAAGAGCACCCTTACCTGCCAATCTATAAATTACATCTCCGTAATCTAGCATGGGTAGGATGGTCATCTGAAGCAGGGTTAGTTTGGCAGCTGGGGTGAAAGAGTAGCGATTACGATAGAGGAAACCAAGTCTAGATTTAACCTTAGCCTGCAGCTTTGATACAGTTGAAGTCAGAAGTTTACATACACCTTAGCAAACTACATTTAAACTCAGTTTTTCACAATTCCTGACATTTAATCCTAGTAAAAGTCTTAGGTCAGTTAGGATCACCACTTCATTTTAAGAATGTGAAATGTCAGAATAATAGTAGAGAGAATGATTTATTTCAGCTTTTATTTATTTCATCACATTCCCAGTGGGTCAGAAGTTTACATACACTCAATTAGTCTTTGGTAGCGTTGCCTTTAAATTGTTTAACTTGGGTCAAACGTTTTGGGTAGCCTTCCACAAGCTTCCCGCAATAAGTTGGGTGAATTTTGGCCATTCCTCCTGACAGAGCTGGTTTAACTGAGTCAGGTTTGTAGGCCACCTTGCTTGCACACGCTTTTTCACTTCTGCCCACACATTTTCTATAGGATTGAGGTCAGGGCTTTGTGATGGCCACTCCAATACCTTGACTTTGTTGTCCTTAAGCCATTTTGCTACAACTTTGGAAGTATGCTTGAGGTCATTGTCCATTTGGAAGACCCATTTGCGACCAAGCTTTAACTTCCTGACTGATATCTTGAGATGTTGCTTCAAAATATCCACATCATTTTCCTTCCTCATGATGCCATCTATTTTGTGAAGTGCACCAGAACCTCCTGCAGCAAAGCACCCCCACAGCATGATGCTGCCAC